TTTCTCTCTCTCTCTCTCTCTCTCTCTCTGGCTCTCTCTCTCTCTCCCTCGCTCTTTCTTTCTCTCGCTCTCTCGCTCTCGCTTTCTCTCTCTCGCTCTTTCGCTCTCTACCCCTTCTCTGGCCCTCCGATTATCTCTTACGAAAGACCAGGTTACCTACGAACGCGTGGATGGACACGGGATGAACCTCGAAGAGCTGGGCCGGAACCCGCGTCTTGACACAAAGCGGGTGAGCTAAAGACGCGAAGAGGGGACTGAGGCAAACACTGCGTCGATCTCAGGGTGACAAATATTTACATCAGCAATGTCCACGGCAAAGTTGAAATTGCGGTATTTTACCCGATAGTGACGTCATCAACATGGACAACCTCACCGGTTGACCGCAGCCTTCTCACCAATGTAAAACTTCCGATTTAGCTTCTTTTCCCTCGTGTGTGTGGTGTACTTTTTGTGTTCTTGATGTTGGCGTAGACGGCGCTCAGGGTCGGCTGACCAATGAAAAATACAGCCAGCCTCAGTGCGGCTTAGAATGGGACAGTAAGCTTCTCACCTGGGCCTTTTCGTGCCAATTCCACAACGCTGGTGCGATATCGTTTGGCTGAAAAGGCCGCACACTATTGGTGAGGATCCGGTGTGTGTGTGTGTGTGTGTGGGGGGGTCTGGGTGTTTTGAGTTAAGAGATGTTACCAGGTGCGTTGCCGAATAAGAACCGTGCTTCCTGCTATGTTATGCACGCTCCTTGTCGCTCTGTACCATTACTGAAGAACGTCTGTGGCTTGATATTGTCGTGGCTTTTCCGCTTCGGCCCCCCTCGCCCTTTCTCGTTTCTTTCTCCCTGCGGTGGCGTGCGAGCTTGCCTGGTGGCAGGTGTGTTATTCGCTAACATGTTACCTAGTGCGTGCCCAAATCAGACCCCATGCGTCCTACCACGCAAGGCGCCATGTCCCTTTGTCGCTGTCCACCAATAGTTTGTTGCTTCGCCCCCCTCGCCTTTGCTCGTTCCTTTGCTTGCTTGCTCGCTGGCTCGCCTGCCGATTGAAGGTGTGGGACCTGAACGCGGAACCCCGCCTCCCGTTCGAAGACGCTACCTATGACGCAGTGGTCTGTACCGTGTCGGTGCAGTACCTCCAGCAGCCGGAGGCAGTGTTCGCGGACGTGTGCCGAGTGCTCAAGTAAGGGCGGGAGAGGCCTCGAGTCCATTTTTTTTCGTTTTTTCTGTTCGGTGCTCGCGTGAGCGGGGTTTGCTCAAGATTTGGTCGCTTGTGGCAGTATTCTTCGGCCAAGATGTCGGTCACTTTCGCAACGGTAGGTAACGCGTGTGTGGAGGGGCCTCGAACCCCTCCCACGAAAAAAATGAAATCGCAATGACGACGGTAATAGCGCGCATTTATTTGAAAACGCACAACAAGGAGGGTGCTCAAACCTTTAGATAATTTAATCTTATGTATACATATGTTGGGTTTGGGGTTGTTGCTTGTTTTTGTTTGGAGTATTTTTTATTTGTCGGGTTTGGGGACGCAAAATTGTAGCCAAGCGCCAAATGGCGGAGAATCCCTCCCGTGTGACCCCGGATGTTCCGTCACGATTACTAGTGTACTGAAAACTTAGAGATTCAACACCAAAAAAAGATGGGGACGAAAACACAGTATTTTTGGGAGCTACGAAGCCATTAGCGTGTGTACGCATGGGGACGCAAGTATAGCCTAGCCTCCTGTAGCGGAGAAGGTCTTTGTAAGCAGTCTCATCGCAGTCGGAAATATGTGTATAGAAAGACCTCGCTGCGAAGTTGGAAGAAAGGATAAAGGTGTGGCACGCCGTTATCCGATTGCTCAAGCAGCCTGATTGATTTCGCGAACTCCTTCTCATATTGTGCGCGCCCGTTTTTCGGTGGCGTGGCTGACGCGGCGTTTTGGTTCCATGCCGGGTGGTTCCGCGGACGGGAGAAGGCCTGGCGGTGTGGCCATCTTCTCTTTCTCGAACCGAATGTTCTCCGACAAGGTACGGGAGGGGGGGGGGGGGGGGANGGGGGGGGGGGGGGAAGAGTCGAATCTCCGTAGAATTGCAGCAACAAGCATCCAGGAAGGGGGACATGCATGACACTCTGCTTATCTGATGTGGAAAAAATATGAATTTCTTCGTGTCTGTAAGAAAGCAAGCAAAAGATCTGCCTCGAGAAATAAAAGCGGCGTAACAAAGTAACTTGTGCTCTTTTCTTACGAGAGAGAAAAGGTGCCCGCAGTTTTCTGATTGGCCAATTTTTTTGAAAGGAAATTTCCTGTGTGCAGAAAATTCCATGGTCGACCGATTGGGCATTCATCGAGAAGATGTATCATGAGGAACAAGTATGGTCGATTGGCCGGTCATCGAGAAAATGTGTCGCCGAGAAAAAGCTGTGTCGACTTTGAAGGACTAAGGTGATGGAGCGCGGCCGCTTCGGAAGCCGACTACTGAAAATCTCTTTGTCCGCACCAGGAGCGCTTCGTAGATGGCGTGCCGATGTCTACAATCCACCGCTTCCAACAAGAATAGTCGGCGTCATACTCGCTCATTCTTTGCGAACGGAGTCTTTTATTTTTGTTTTTCGCATTATTCGACTCCCGAGTCTTGTTGCTACCCTTGTCAGGAGTATCTGTACTTCCGTCGGATAACGCGTCGTCGGTGGAAGTCGAGCCGCGTGGACGGATGTTCTGCCCCGTGTTTGGCTTGCATGGAATCATAGTCGTTGTCCCCCTTGTGTTTTTCTTTTGCCACGATCTTTCACCTTTGTCCCCCTCTTCTTCTCATGTTGCTCGTCTTGTTCTTGTCGTATTCTGGTTCTGGTTCTGGTTCTGGTTCTGGTTCTGGCCTTTTTGTGTTTGGATGCGGAAGGCCATCAAGGGTTGGATCAACCGGACAGCCAAGGGGCGAGCGCGCCTTGTGTCCGATTACTTCAATGCTGCGGGTGGATTCGGACCGCCGGAGGTAGTCGAGCGCGAAGCTTCGTAAGTTTTTTCTTTCTTTTCGTGAGCTTCGCAAGTTTTTTTTTCTCTTCGTACGCTCGCCAGATTTTTTTTTTCTCTTCTATTGGTGCTTGTTGCGTCGGTCTTGTTGGTGGGAATAGACTTCTGCTTTCCCGGAAGTAAAACTACTTCCATGTGTTGGGTTGTAGAATTGTTTGTTCGCCTGCCTGGGTCCATAGCGCGAGGCTTCGCCAGCCCTCTTAGCCCACAATTTTTTCGCTGCGAGTCCATTTTTGCACAAGAAAGATAGGTGTTTCAATTCAAGCCCAAGGTACCCATCCAGAGTGAGTCCCCATCTGCTTCACCAAGAAGTATCTTTGTTCCTCGGTTCAGAGCGCGAAACGGTTGGTGTGAAGTATTTTTTTTTCGTTCGTTTTGCCGATGATCTTCGTGACTATCCGACTTTAAGCACGCAAACGCCGTTTATTTCGAGGGCGGCAGTGCAACGCGTCCACCGTGTGAATAAGCACCTTATGTCTCGCACATCTGGCATGTGTTGATTGTCACCAGGGCGACCTGTCTTATGGCAAAAAGCCGACAGCAGAATGCACGCTCGTGTGCCCCCCACCCCTCCCTCGTGCATACGTACCGCTCAGGGACAGCGCCGGATTTTTCGAGGGCTTTGCCGATATGTTCGGCATGGTCGGGAAAGGTGACCCGTTCTGCGCGGTTGTCGCAACCAAAGAAGGCTGACAACGCAATCAAGTCAACGCTCCCCACCCCCGAAGACCACAAAAACCGCGGAGCAACAGCAGTCCGGTTGATTGGACAGGCGGACAGTTGACCGGATCAATGAGCGGGCCGATCAGCTGACCGTTCGCGTGTGCGTATGTACGATCTTCATCGGGTAAATGTGTCCTGTTTTGGGCCAGACGTAGAGAATCAGCCAACGTATCGATCGATCCCCAGGGTGAGGTTTCCACAGGTGGTGATGTGCATGTTGTGGGAGGGGGAGCTTTGCAGACCGGATCAAGGAGCAGCGAAAACGGTCATGAAATATATTGTAGTCTGGGCATCGGGCGTAGATTTGTTTCGGCCAGATGTATAAATTACAACCCCCTGTGCTTCGACACCGCCGGGGTTGCCATTCCGCAGCAGCTGCGGTGGTGGGTGTTGCGATGATCGGGGAGCGGTACACAAACTGCTGCTTGTGTCTGCCCTACGGCTGTCTTTGCACACGACAGAGGTGTAGCAACGTTTTATTCGCGCCCCGCTCGGTGTACAGCCCAAGATAACAGCATTCGGGGAGTGATAATGGCGCGGCGTTCATGCGTGTTTGGGATCCAAGGTCTCTTGCCGAGGCGATGTTGCAGGGGCTGTAAATTGCGTACGGCCGAAGGTGAGGCCGGATGAAAAAGAACCATTGTTCGCCTGCTACAATGGAAGGGATGAATCTGCACGGCGACACGCCTCCTTGTAGATTACTTTTGATAGATGTTTCCGACACTTTGCCCCCGTTCATTTTTGAGCAACAGGGTTGGTTTCAAAAGGGAGGTCTCGGTTTTGATATGCCACCCGGGGATCCCCTTGGGCTAACACTGGACTAGGAGAGACACCTCCTAAGTTGTGGGGGGGGATCAGTGACGCCACCACTTGTACACCCTGGGGCGGAGACTTTTTTGTTAGAAAGGGAGGGTTCAGCGTTGGGAGGGAAGAAGTGTGATGAGGAGGACAACAACAACGTGATATTCTCAAACCTGCGACCAACATCTTTTTTCACCACCCTTGCACGAAGATGACGATGCCCACGAGATTGCATCGCATCAGCTACACACATGGACGGTTGATTCTCTCCACCCTCCACTCGAAACAAGGTGAATAGATAGGTGGGAATCCCGAGGAAGCACGTCAACACCACCCGGAACAAATCAACTGGCAATCAACTCTCGATCCGGAGACGTAGCGAAGAAGCGGTCCATGTACAGCCATGTGTGGCCTCAAGTGGACGGCGCAACATGTTCCTATCCAAAGAACCATGAGCGTCCCCGAAAAAAATATTCCGTGGTCCGCGGTTTCATGCGGTAACAACAGAGGCTTGATTGCAATGTAGCGAAAAATGTATGCGTGCCATCCTGGAACACAGCATTCGCCCAACCAAGCGGTACAGCCGCTGCAGGGGCAGGCAACAACTGGGAGTGTTCACCCGTAGATTGCGTAGGATATCAACCAAACCCCGTGGACCGATTGTCGAAGCTCGATTACTCCAAGGAAGAACAAGCATTGACGGAGGTGGCGGCGTTGGAACCGTTTCGTTTTTGCATCCTCTTGGTCGTGGCGTTCTTTGAAAGTAGGTCCACGGGGGTGTCGTATCTTACGCAACCTACGGGGTTGTGTAGCGGCCTCAAGCTGTGAGCTGGCGGCAAGAGGGGGTGAGACTCTCCCGCACCAAACAAGCATTTTCGTATGCCAAGTGCATGTCCTCCTTCCCTCGCCGCAGAAGAACATTACGAAGCCTCAAAACCTCATGAAAGAAAAACAAGCATGATCATTGCACATTGCACCACGAATCATCGATATCTTGTTGGTTTACAGCGTGAAACGCAATTCAAAACACATAAGAAGCTCGAACAATTCATGTGTGGGACCGAAAAAAACTTACTTTGGCGCGAGTGAGCCTCGCCCCATCTGCATCCGCCGATGCTGTACCCCTTTGCAAACAACGCACCCCCATGTTCCGACATGCAACGTGACTTTTGTCAGTCGATGGCACGAAATACTCGCTGGACATCCACATGTTAAACGACACACAAAAAGGTCTGCCTCACGCACTTCATCCAATATATGTGGCGGTGGCTTTTCAGACACACTATTCCCCAGAGCCACAACAAGCCCGGAAAACAATTTTTTTGCATGTCCCGGCCTCCGAACAGATGGCGGCGAAAGCAGCACGGAGGGTAAGAGCAGGCAAAGCGGTAGCAAAAATGAGAGCCGCTCATCATCACGTGATCAACAGCAGCAGGAATACCGAAAACTACCAGCAACACCAACACTACGAAACCCCCCGCATTAACACCACATATCTGGGGGGGGGGGGGGGNGGGGGGGGGGGGGGGGGGGGGGGGGGGGGGGGGTTAGAGCAACATGGCTGCACATGGAAACGGCTAACAACGAACCCCAACCATCACGCTTGTGGGTACGACGTTTTCCGCCCCCAGTCACCACCCGGCCATGGCTTGTAGCTCACGGTTGCACGGGGTGCATGGTCGTGATGGCGCTTTTCTACGGCTCCAAGACCGACCGGAAATATCAGCACAGCAGAGAAGGTCGCGGCGACCCGCGGGTGCAACACATACCATACACCTGCCAGCACTCCAGCCCCTCGGCTACTCTTAATCCAATCGTGGGGTACAGCTACAAAAACATAGGAGGGGGAGTGATCGTTTTGCTGTCCAAAAATATATACGAACGGAACAAATTGCCACGAAGAAGAGAGAAACGAGATAAAAAACAGCACCAGGCAGGCAGGGTGCTCACCGCACAACTCACGTATGTACTGCTGGGCGAAAGGTGACCACAAGGAACAACGAAGACGTGACCTGGTGTGTTTCGGGAGAATGTTGATCCTCCCTATTGCATAGCGATACCCCGAGAAAAAAAAAATGAGCAAAACAAACAAGACATGGCGCGGAAGGAAGAAAAAAAATCTGGGGCCTACCCACTTTTTCGGTGAAACAAAACACTTATTTGACATGCCGACGTCCGGAATACCCCCCCCCTCCCCCGAACTTGTTCCTTTACACATCTGCTGCCGCATCCACCCCGCCCTGCCTTGCTACAGGCGACTTCAACAAGTCGCGAAACCTCCCTCTCCGAACGTTCGGGTGACGCCGCTTCTCACAGTCGGTTCTCTCTTCCACCTCCGGACACGATATACCCCCCGCCCCCCTTGCCGAAAGCGGCCGGAACCCCCCATTGCCGCAGGCGCGCCCCTTGAAGATCCCCCACCTCCACCTCCACCCGCGGCCGCCGTGCGAGAATTTTTACTAAAGACACAAACATGAAACAAGGATCACCCTCGTTGGGCAGCCAGCAGGGCCTGGAAGCCGAGCACCACTTGTTCGCATTCGTCTCTAGGAACGGCGGCACGGGGCAAGGTAACGAGGCACGACCACCGAGAGTGGGTAAGGGAGGGAGGTTCAACCAACATGCGAAGAGAGACAATTTTCATACGAAGTAAAGTATGGGTCCATCGTAACTTCCTTGCTCGTATGTCGTGTTCTCTCAGTCTGTCTTGTCGTTCTGTCCCTCTGCTTCTCGTGGTCTAACCTGCTGCCAGTGTGTCTCTCTCCTTGCCTCTTGTCTGCGTCCCTCCCTCTATCCTCATCTTGTTGGTGTTGTAGTTCTCCCTCTGCCTCCTTTCTTTCTCTTTCTCTCTATCTGTCTCTGTCTCACACACTTCCTCTCTCCTGTCTGCCCCTCATTGTCTCTCTCCGTGCCTCCCTCGCTCTATCCCTCCCTCACGTTAGTCTCACTTTGAGGCGACCGTGAAGTCGAGGGACCTGCTGGGGAAGAGGAGGCTGAAGCTTCGATCCAAGGCCGCTCTGCCCGCTTTCGAGCGACGGAGCTCACTTGTTCCCGTGTAGTTAGGCTCTGAAGGGTCTACTTCCGTGCCTCTGCGGACCTGTGAAATTACCGTCAATACTGCATGTTGTTATGATTCAGTGTAAGATCGAAACACGAACCGCCACCTCCACCGACATTCACACAACAGTAGCAATAGCAGCGGAAACAACAGCAACAGCAGCAGCAGCAGCAGCAGCAGCAGCAGCAGCAGCAGCAGTCAGCAGTCAGCAGAAACAACAACAGCAACAACAGCAACCGTCGCACCAATCGCACCACCCGTACGTACCTCCTGCATCAACCTCAGGTCGTGGAGAGTCTTGCCCCACGTCAGCGTGCCGCACTCCTGGTCCGGGCACCTCAGCGTCCGGTGCATACTCTTTCCGTTGCGGCCGTGCTTCAGCAACCTGACCCCCTCGTCGCTCAACAATCTCGCGGTGAGGTATTTCCTGGCGGTCTCCATCCGCACAGCCGTGGCCTGCCTTCGAGCGAGCTCCGCCTTCATGTGTGTACACGGGTGTCTTTGCTGTTATTATAGTATCAACCGCGCTAACCGGTTGACCGATTGGGGGGGTTACGGTTACGGTTAGGTTAAGGGTTACCCTAACCCTCACCGTGGTAACCGGTCGAATGATCCAAAAGAGGCCACGGCTCGAATGCGTCTGTGCCAAGCATGACAAGGGCACGTCAAAAGCGACAAAAAAGCAATCCCGTCGTACAACGTACGCCTGCTGAGGTCTTCCCAGCCCAAACTTCATAGACTCTTTCAGGCGAAGTCATCCATGGGTGCACAAGACATGTATATGCCTTCCTCCAGCAACAAAACCCCTCCTCCTCCTCCTCCTCCTCCTCCTCTCCCTCCCCTTGTTGTACTCTCTCGTCCTGCGGCAGGCAGGTTGGCTGGTGGTCTCAAGACCAAATGTTTGTCTGCCGGGGACAGACACCAACCTCATTTCTCTTGTCTTTCGAATCACCTTTCATGAATCATCGTCCTTGCAATCACTTTCTTCCACGAATCATCGTCTTTCGAATCGTCTTCTTTTCTTTCGAATTACTCGCCTCTTCTTGGGCGATCCGCCTCACCGCCGCTGCCTCCTCCAACGCTTTCGACCCCGCCTGCTCCTTCATTTTCTGGCGGCGACAAGCGGGGNGGGGGGGGGGGGGGGGGGGGGGGGGGGGGGGGGGGGGGGGGGGGCACAGCAATGGGGAAAATTGTAGGCGAAGACGAGGGCCGGGGGGTGAGGGTACGCGTCGCGGAAGAGTTGGCAAAAGTCCAAAAGGATCACGAAGACTAATAATATTACTCGAAGACATGGGTTCATTTTTTTTTGTAGAATGCCAGCTCTGTGCTTTGTTGTCAATTTGCGCTATAGTTTGTAATAGGGGACTCCGTGTTGACCAAGTTACACTAGACTATATTCCAACTTGGTCTTGACTACTATGTTCCACCGTAATATTCCCGAACAAGGACTCTAACCAGAGCAGTGGAGTAAACGTGTAGCCCATCGCCCCCGGTGGCATAGGAGGTCAACTGGGCAAAAAAATAATCTACCCAGTAGCGGTACTTTGGAAGTTCGGATCCGGGCGAAGCTTTCCCGCAATTTTCGGGAACTCTTTGCTGTAGGATCGGAGAGTGCTTGGTAGTGGGACTGCTATATAGAGAGACAAGAAGGACGGCTAAAACCTTCCCTCGACCAACTTCTTGTCTGCGTAACCCCCGATCAGGGTTCTTCAGTTACGCGGGCAAGACCTTAGGGTACTCGCAGAGGCGCTGCTACTGAATGGGATGAGGAAAGGCAACATGCTTCAAAAAAAAAACGGAAAAGAACCAACAGGAAAGGAGTGACGGGGTTGAGAGGAGACAGGGCTCTTATGTGGGCCCATGCGTCGAGTGCCGATGGGCACGATGCGACACCACGATAAATCGTCCATGCACCATCAACGTTTCCCGCAACCAAAGCATGACACCACCACCGACAACAGAAGCCAACCATCAACACAGCAAAACATTATCACAGCAGCAGCAGAAGCAGCCAATGCACCCAGAATCACCAAGCACCGCACTGAACATTTAGCACGCTGTAGCAGCAGCCGATACACCAAACACACAAAGCACAACACTAAACATCAACGCAGCAGCAGCAGCAGCAGCAGCTGCAGGCCAGCCAGAGGGGCTGCCTACAAGAGCTATAGCAGGGCAGATCATTTTGGAGCCAAGGAGGGGTACAGGCTCGCTGATCGCCTCGCGACTAGAAGAGAGCGACGACCCCCCCGACCATCCTCTACTGCAAGCCCTCATCTACAGGCGGTGAGAACCGATGTCGTAGCTTTCCCCCCCGTGTGTTCTGAGGCACCCAACCCTTCCCACGAGAGCGCAAGAGCAGCAGCGGTAGCCTCACCTGAGCCTCTTCCGCCCGCCACAAGGCCTTCCGTGCCTCCGTCTCTGCCTGCCTCGCCGCCCTCGCCGAAGCCTCTTCTTCGAACCTGGTGTGTTTTCGTTCGAACAGGGAGGGGATAGTGGCGCTTGCTTGTAACAAAAAACAAAAACACACACGCAAGCAAGCAAGGAGGATGATGGTGAAAGCACTCCAAAACAAACTCGAGTGCAAGGTAGCAGCCTTGGTAGACACGTGCAGGGTGTTTCTGTTGCAACCGTTGTTGTCTTTCATCCGGAGAATAGAGTAGCTTCCCCCCATGCCGCCCCCTCAAGGGGTCCCAGTTTAAGACTCATTTAAAAGTATTTTGTGTTTTCAACCGCACCGAGACTCGCGTGCTGTCATTGGTCAGCCGGTTAGCGCGGTCGATGCGCAATTGCGTCGAGAAGGAGGTACGGGCGTTTGCTCGTGAAAAAAAAGCCACACAAACACACACATGCGTAATTGCTTGGAAGAAAACCCGCGCATACACATGCAACTTGGCGACGAGAGTGGTGGTATACTGCAAGGAGAAACGTGAAAGCACTTCAGAAACGAGCACAGTAGAGGCAGCCGTGGTAGACACTTGCCGTCCTCTTCTGCTGCTAGACACCGTTTCTGTTCCGGAGTGTAGCTTAGCCTCCCACTCAAGGGATCCAAGGTCATGGTAAAGAACCATGCATGTTCTCAACCGTACCGATGCTGACGTCTGTTCATTGGCCAGTCGGTTAGCGCGGCCGGTGCTAACAAAAACGACACACACCCGTCACGGGGTCCTAGATCATGGTAGCCTTTAGGAGCATCTTCTGCTCTCAGTCGAGTCCAGACTGACGTCTTCTCATGGGTCAGACGGGGGCCGAAACCTGCACCCCTCGAGTCGCTCATCAGGCCAGGCAGTGGCGACGACAAGAGTGTAGAAATGCTCTGGCCAGACCAAGAAACACATATCTACTTACTCCAGAAGGCACAAGAAAGACACTCGAGGAGAGATGCAAACAGCGCGAACATGGACATTTCTTGTTGTCTTTTTAGTCCGCGACGATGAACAAATAGAAGAAAGGATATTATATCGCAACATGCTGCTCGGGGAACGCAGACTTACAAGATAGTCATCACACAACACTATGATTTACATGCAATTCTGTCCCGGACTCTTCAGCCGTGGAAGAATTGAATATTTGACAATTTGTTGTGTTTTCGTAAGAAAAAACACACCCGCTATTTCAAGTCAGTTCCTTTCCTCAAAAAAGCATGGGGTCGAACAATGTCATTCACCTCCTGCACAAGGGGTGATCCTGAAGACCGGTACCCCCCTGTCTTATTGTATATCTGTGGGCGACCCCGCTTCTGAGTTATTTTTAGTCGAAAAGCGGGGACGATTGTATCCTCATTTTCCGTCAACCAATTCCCCTGTAACAAACCTGCGTCTTTCCGCCTCCTCCGCCGCCGCGTGCGCCGCGTCCTCTGCTTCTCTAAGAGCCCGCATCGTCTGCTCCGCCCTCTGATTAGACACCGCCGCACAACAAACAATGCTAGGATCAAAAACATTGAGCGGTATAACAGATGACTTGATAGCTGTGAGTGGCGTAGTTTGATAGCGGAATACGCGACGGCAACAGGTGGATTGATAGCTGAACAGCCATGGGTGACAGACGGATTTGACAGTCGGGGAGCGGTTTAATAGACACCTCTTCGTTCTTTCAATACATGTGCCTACCACACCCTGGACAACATGATATTTAATGCATATTGCTCCAATCATACATACTAAAAATTGGAATCGGTATGTGTTGATGGCTTCAATACAACGGGAGAATATCTTCCACTACATATTGCTACCAAGATATGTGTATACAATTGGTATCGATTGGTATCGTTTGGTTCAATATATTCGGGGAAATTCCATCAACATATATTGGTTCAAGCAATGTGTTATCAATCCAAATGGTATCAATTGATATCGCATGGCTCAATGCAGACGGAAAGTATCGATCGATATGCGTGCCAGGCAATCGATACGTCCGTTCGTTTGTTTTGGTTCGTCCCCCGTGGCGTCAACAGTAACCCTGCTCATGCATAAAATTGATATCGCGCGGAGCGCGAAAAATTTTGGGGGGAATGTTTTCTTTCGCGTTGAAAATAGTTACAACGTACGATATGTATCAACATGGTGTTTGAACAATAGATAGATATTGATCGCTGCGATCATCAACGTGTTGTTGCTCCAAGATGTATCAATCGAACTCGGTTAAAACATATCGTACCTTGCAATATCCATCGACGAACAACTGAAAGCGTGCTGGTCGAAGCGATACATCTCGAAGACTTGTAGTTTATCCTATCGCGGGAGCTAAAATGTGATGCGTCTTTTGTTTCAATCTATCGTTGCTCACAGTACGTACGTATCGATGCACCCGGAACCATCATATTGATTATTACTGTAAATACGTATCGACTCGAAATTTCAACTATATTTTTAGACCAATATTCGATTAGCCTAAGTATTGTCCAGGGTGTAAGGGCCACACCTTCGGCCCACACTACATGGGCCACCATTCCTCGTGCTCTACACGTTTAGTAATCGACAAGACGAATGGTCAGGGCAATCAATGGGGAAATTGGTACAGCCCCGCACATGGCCACCACCACTCTAAATGCAATATATTATGCATCCCATAGTAAATCCTATATCATAATGGACCTATACTAAAATCAGTACACTTTGGGGGAGCGACAGTGGGTACGTACCGGGTCATACCAACAGAGTTTTTTCTCGCTAATTAAATCCTGGTCTCCGTTGGAAGCGACGCGCTGCAAAGCTNAGTAAATCCTATATCATAATGGACCTATACTAAAATCAGTACACTTTGGGGGAGCGACAGTGGGTACGTACCGGGTCATACCAACAGAGTTTTTTCTCGCTAATTAAATCCTGGTCTCCGTTGGAAGCGACGCGCTGCAAAGCTCGTTGTTAGTAAACTTGATCGACATCGTAAGTCGCGAGGGCAGGGATTGCTGTACCCTTCTCGCGATAAAAATATCTTCGACAGGAACCGCAGGAGGGGGTCCAACCCCCCCCTCCTATGTGACCCCGGTTGGGTCGTCTAGCTGGTAGAAGTGGAGGATAGGGGCCAGAGGGGCAGGCGACGGACTCCAATGATGGGAGACAAAAAAAAAAAAGTTATGCTGTATACCAGATACAATACATGGATACATTGGGAGAGCAGTACACAACAACTTGTTGTTTGTATCGGTAGACTGTGCACTGCAAAGAGCAACAACACATCATTGAACATCTCATCGATACATACCGTGAGAACCAAATGCTTTTCCGTCGATGTATTATTAGACTATTGCGTGATATTGACCCGTACCGTCCTTACCGACAAGAAGTATGTGTTACGACGTGCATGTGGTGTGAACTGAGCGGAGACAGTAGAATTTATGCTTGGATGAGATCGTTTGAGAACATGTTCCAAAATTACATGAATAGACACCGGATGATGGCAGTCGTCAAACGATTTCGCCCAGCATTAAGTGATCAATGTTTTTCATCTGTAGTATTCACGAAATACAATTGACATCCGCGATATCCATGGTATCTCTGTCTTTCAATCCGGATGCAGGCTCCGTGGATATGATTGATTGTATAGGGGGGTGCCATGAATGTCACCTCCGACTACTATCTCGTAGATCTCGTAGATTGTGACGTTCAGATGACCTGTCGGAGATCTATCTACCTTCGGGGTGGTTTACCACAGGTACAATTAGTGCCCGCCCCTTGAGAACCTCTACCCGCATACGATACAAGATAACACACCCCGTGGACCGATTTGCAAAGCTCGATTACTCCGCAACGAAGAGGATGCATCAACGAAACGATACATTTTCAGAAAGCTCTGCACCAGAAGGTTTCAACGCCGCCGTTTTCGGCGCTGTGACTCTTTCTGCTGTTGAGAAATCAAGCTTTGGAAATCGATCCAGGGTGTGCGTGCTATCTTGTGTTGTATACGGTAATTTTGGGTCGGTTATGCTACGGATGGCCATCATCCAGGTACTAATGTATTAGTGTAGGAGTTCTTAACTTAGCTCACAAATTGTGCTCGGGTTCTTTGATTTAGAGTTGGTTCGAGGTTAGATTTGCTCACTGAAAAGTTGTTCAACTGCCGGCGCTGACCGTAAGAGTCAGCCGACACGCTGAACTCGCGTGCGGGTCCAGCTGTCCACCTGCCCCCCCCCCGTGCGTTCGTTCTCTCGTGAGAGGTTGACTCTCGTGTGCTACTACTCCGCACTACACATGGAAAAAAACGCTCGAGAGCTGCTATGTGGACCTGGCTTGTGCAAAATAGCGTCCAGCAACGTATTTGGTATTCTTCCTCGTCTTGTCGAGCCCAGCACCGTAAGGTTGCTTGTCGGCTAAAGCACAGGGACAGGGGTGCAATCGATTTTCAAAGCGTGGTTTTTCCACAACCAACAGGTTACAGTACCACTGTCGAAGGGGGCGGTTTTGGGAAGATCTCATCGAGAGATTTCCTGAGAATTGTCAGTTGGCTCTCGCACTCTCCTGGTTGTGCAGAAACTACGCTTTGAAAATCGATCGCACCCCTGAGCGCTGACTTGCAACCTTGCGGGATTTCTTGATGGGATGGGACGCGTGTGAGTTCGCAGGTGAGACGTGCCCAAGGTGAAGGTAGGGGTTTACCGTAGACCCGTACCTCAACCTTGCACACACCCGACGTGCTCACACGCGTCTGATCCCGTCGACGCATGTGAGTTCGCAGGTGGGGTGCGCGGAAGGTTAAGGTATGGGTTTACCGTAGACCCGTACCTCAACTTTGCACACGCCCGAGTTGTTCGCATGCGTCCTATCCCGTCGCTGGAGACCACCACAAGGGTCGCGTTGCGGCATAAGTTTCTTCGACCATAAAACTCGTGCCTTGCACATTTGCAACTCACACGGTCCTCATCCCATCGAGAAACACTGCGTCCGTCAAGACGAGCAAGAAAAACAATGCCGTCGCTGGGCCCAAGCTCAAGCCAAGTATTTCCAGGTCTGCATAGCAGCTCTCAAGTGTTTTTTTACGACATGTGTGGTGCGGAGTAGTAACACGCCAGAGTTAACCTCCTATGAGAGAACGCATGTTCCATAGCTTTGGTTGCGAGAAAAGAGAAAAAGAGAGAGGGGGCCGCTGTACTTGTACGCGAGTTAAGCGTGTTGACACTGGATCTTACAACGTGGCAGTACCCCAAGCGCAGACAGACCTCCGACCAGTCATTCCACTTCACAATCTACGCGACAGCAGTCACAAGTTGACACTTCACTTACCATACAACAGAGGTTCCCGATTTAGTGCCGGTAAGTACCAAGAGGGCTGACAGGCACTTTATTGTCGGACATGGGTACTATTCAAAGCAAAGGAGGACTTGGTTATTCAATCATATGTCAGCCGAAAAACCGACACTATATTAGACACCGGCACTATTCGCAGTACAGAGTGAGTTTGTGATTCAGTCAGAGCAAGCCAAACAACGTCACCAAAACCCGGCATCGTCAAACCCGCAACACATCGGCCTGTACTACTGCAACGCAAGCGCCACAGCTACACGCACTGAAGAACCTCTGGTTGTAGTCCAGACTGGGGTTCTTGGCTCTTCTTGTGCGCTAGAAATTGCCGCTATTTAGTGCAGGGGTTCTAAACCGGGTTCACAAACGCGAGTTCTCAGACCTTGAGCTCTTTGATCTTCTCAATTTCAAATTTATTCTTAAGTGCGGGCCCTAAAGGCTGTGTACATATATCAAGTGCTAAGTTCTTCTCAAAGGCGGGACCTCACTGCTATAGACAGATATACATGCGCTCATGACTGCCAAGTTGTTCATTGCGGGGCGGCGCTAACTGCTGGAAACAGAAACACACCTCGGCACTGGCTGTCTCTGCCTCCGTCTGCGCAGCAATCCTCGCCTCTTCCGCGGCGGCTACGTCCGCCTCAGCCTCCCGGGTGGCTTCCTGCGCCGCGGCTTCGGCCTCCGCCGCAGCCTTACCCTCCACCTCTGATCTCGACATCTCGATCTTCGCCTGCAACACCTCCTGCCCTCGGGGCAGAAGGGGGG